GAAGAGTTTTCCTTTTTTAGCAATTCGATATAACACAGAAATACCGAGTACGATAAATTGAAGCGAAAAAAATACAAGGAACAAGAAAAAGTGAAGTACTTCTCAGGTGAAGAAAACAAACAATATAAACATACACAAAGTTACCTGAATAATATAATATAATCATCGTTGACAAGCACGACTCGACCGTAATAATAGCAACCTCGTTCGTTTAAATGAATTTCTCCCTCAAAATCCATATCCCTTCTCGAAAAGTGGATCCCGATTCTCGCAAATATTGGTGTCAAGGACTTTTATCTTACTATCATCCCGACGAAGTACCGAAAAATGTACATCAATATTCTTCCCTCTCTAGTCTTTAAAGTCGAATCTAGTCTCAAACGTTTCGGATCTTAGTAAATGCAACTTGGGCAGAATCAAGAACGCTCCGATACTTTTGGAGGGCCGATTGCAGCCTCAAAATCGAAGTCCCGATCGAGTACTCTAACTACTATCAACGTACATTTTCGGCAGTACTTCAATTATTGAACATTGCCAATTGCTCTAGCTGGGAATTGAACGATATAACCAGCTGCCGTTATTAACGCACCAAACATATTGTACTTTAAATATCTCGGAAAATTTATAACCGTCCATCACTTTTACATAAACAACTTCAAGAAAGCAGAGATCGGATATAATTAAATTTTGGATTATCGATATAATATAGATGATGCTTCATCATGCTGAGTGGATTTTGATCCGACCAGCATTCTCAACATTCAACATTTCAATTTTTATTCAGTTTTCTTTCTGATCATTTTTTGGCTGGAAAAAGACAGTTTTTGTCCCTCAAGTTTGCTCTAATTTCACATTTGGTCATCCATGTTAAAAAAAACACATTTGGCCCCTCATATTTAAAAAAATCAACACTTTTAAGTCATTTCCGTCAATTTTCCGTTAAAACTAACGGAATCAAACGTGTTCCCATCACTACCGTAATTGATGGACTAACAGTAAATTGACGGAAATGACCAAAAGTGTCAAATTATTAAAACATGAGGGATCAAATATATATTTTCTGAACATGGGGGGCCAAATGTGAAATCGTTGCAAACTTAAGGGGTGAAAACTGTAAATTTCCCATTTTTATGCTTTGCGTTGGAATGAATATGCGTTTTGAATTGGTATTTGATAGCCTAAAATATGGTGTTTTTTAGCATTTTAAAAAATATGTTATTTTGTGCAGGTTTTAGGAATATATATTTTACCAATACGTTTAATTTATTTTTTAAATATATAATTTATTTTTTATATATATCTTAAGTATACAATTTACCATGCATCAATATATTTACAATTCTACGAGTACCATTTGGCTCAACTTATTTTAAATAGCTGACAAGGTCTTATATTTGATAAGCGCGGCTTTAGGAACTCATAGGTTGTTACGTTTTATTTTTAGGATTTTCAAGTGTTCGTTTAATGAGCTTATAAGCTATTTTTACTCATTATAAGATATTTAATAAAAATGTGTAGTAGAAATATTTTTTAGAAAAAAATCATAAAAGTTTTGCACCAACTTATTTTTTGAACTTTTAGATATTAAAAAAAATTACAAAACACTTTAAAAGAGATTAAAAAAGCTCTTAAAATATCTTATAATCTCTTTAAAGAGCCTATAAGCTTACTCAAACACGCTCGTAATATTAGCTTACTAGTTTTATACTTAAACTTTTCTAATTTCAAAACCTTAATTGTATTTTAGTAAAAGAACTGCAGCCAAAGGCCCAAATTATTCCAATGAACTAATTACTTTTAGGTGGTGTTTATAGAAGATTTAAGAAATAGTTTTTGATTTTTTTTTATATTCATAATCTGTTTTTAGTTGTTTGTAAAATCAACTTTTGTTTATATTTTTTTTAAAATGAGTTGTTTTAAGTTATTTCTTTAAAAGCCCTTAAACCTGTTTTACTTTTTTCTATTTAAGTTTAATTTTTAGAATATTTGCAAACATCTCCAACTTTTATAAATAAACATTTATTACCCACTTAACTCAGAATTACTAACTTTTGTTTTTAAATAAACATTTGCAAACACTACTTTAGAATGATACTCTATTAAATTGGTGGTAAATGAGTTGAGTCGGCTCGAACTTGAATTTTTTTTAATTGTTTGTAAGCTCACGAGCCGGCTCAAGAGCCTTAATTTTTTAATATATTATTTTTATTCAAATAATGTATAATAATATATTACAGAAAAACTATAAGAACAACATATAAATATTAAAAAATACATATATATAGTTACAATTTATTGTTTATTTTCATAAATTTTTTATTATAATCTAAATAAATTTTAACAATAAAAAAATATAAGTTATATATAAAAAAAATGGACTTGAGCTCAACAAAATGGACTCGAGCTCAAGCTCGAGCTCGACAAAATGGACTTGCGCTCGAGCTCGATCCTTCCAAGACAGGCGAGCTCGGCTTGAGCTCGACTTGTTCACACACTTACTCGGTAACCAAATTTTATAGGAAAAAAAGTTATAGACATTACTTTGATTAGAAAAAAGAAAGTTCAATTATAAATGCTATTCATAGGGCATTATCCTATTTTACTTGAACAAGTCTAAAGTACTTAGATTTTATTTGGGAGTATTAATAATTGTAAGTGAATAACAGAGATATGTTATGTAGACAAAGTACTATGCAGGCTGATAGCAACATACCAATTACCATAAACTGATAATGACACTCTCTACACCAAGTACCACTACCTACCATATTTATTGTTTCTTCTATTAATTAATAAAACTTTTTCTTTTTTATTTATTTTTGGGATACATAATTTGCATACAAAAAATAATTAATTATTTAAAAAAGAAATCCCAAAACTTTAGATATGTTTTCTTACACGTCCACCTTGTAATGTCAAATTTAGTTGAATTTTCTTGATTATGTAGAATATTCTTCGGTTTGTACCCGTTTTATCGCAATCGAGCTCCACATTTTGAAACAAGATGATCATCAGATGTGTCTCTTGACTAGTAAATAGCAGATTGTGTTGCATCAGAAACTGAATTTTGCACAAAACAAATATAAACTGGAGAACATACTACAAAACGTAGAAGATTATGTTAAATGTAACACCATAAAGTTGATCCTATAAGAACATTCAAAGTTGAAGGGGCTGCTGGTTGTAATTATACAAATAAAATGATTTTTTTTAATAATTTGGAACGTAATTTACCCTTATTTTTAATTTATATAAAAATAAAAAAGTAAAAAAAATGAAAGCTAGTACTTATGAAATAATAAAATAATAAGAGTTGACCTGATCTAATTGGCTGAATCATCATTGATTGTTGAAGCAGCTGTATACACACCTGGCACATGCCAGTAACTTTTATAAGAAACCTTTCCAATGTGTCATTTCTATTAACTCCTTTTCTTTTATTTTTCACAATTACCCCCTTTATTTTTCCATTTCTTCACTTTCCGCCCCTACCACATCTTTTCCGTCCCTTTTCGCTCGTGGAAGAAAGGCGTTCTTAGCTTAAAAAAGTAACGAGGGGCTTTCTCGACATTTCGTATGTCTACTTGGTCAACTGAGCTAAACTCACAGCACTGTGACCTAATTTGCCGCGGAAAGCCATTAACTTATGGATTTGTCGTATTGGCAGTTAGAATAATAATGGTGACAGGCGCTGTGAGGTTAGAAATATCAATGGGGTGGCGAAGGGAAGGGCTGCGGAAGTTTCGATATCCACCTGTTAAAGGACCTAAAAAGTAGACTAATTATTTTTGGGCCCCCAATATTTGCCTTTACTGTTACTACTTATTATCTCAAGTGGCGCGTGTAGTCCACGTACGCGCGATTGATTCGAAGTAGTAAAATCGTCAATCGTGTAGGAAACACAATCATTATTTTCTTGTTTGATTTCAATTTCAAGTTGATTATTGAAAAATTATATGATGAATCTATATTGCATGATCATATTAATGATTTAATTATTATGCCATGTATGGTGTATATTCTTTTAAAAAAAATATATATATATATTTGTTTATCACTTTTTGGTTATTATTTCTTTGATGATCGGCTACATATGTTAAAAATTAAATCAAATTACTCGCTAATCGATTCAATATCAATCGTTTTGAGTTTTGAGCTCGGACAGTTAACAAAACGAACCAAAATCCTATATTTATCTTTCTCGTTTGATCAATTTTAAACTCTCCTCAAAGATTGAACTAGATTCATATTCAATTGAACTATAGTACTTTATCACACCAATTTCATACTTAACTTTTAAAAGTTGATAAAGATTCAACAAAGTTTTAATAATCGTGCATTGTTCTCAACTCAATTTATTTACACCTCTATTAATATATCAAATTATATACTAGTGCCCGCATGGGTGTAGCTCAACTGGTTCCGAATGTGGTAAGTTGGTGCAAGATCCTAGGATCGAATACTGGCAGCCGCAGTGTGGGAATTTCAACTCCAATCAGGATTGGTTCCTTATGGGCACCAGGTCCGGGTCCGCTACCTTAACGGGCCGTTAAGTTACCATGATTTACATTCCTCCATCAATACTTGTCGGGTCGGGCCAAGGGATGGGGGCCCTGGGGGCGAGGGATTTCGCCTCTTGGTGCAAATTATATACTAGTTGGTCTGTAAATGTGATTTAATTGGTAGAGTAACGTAATTCGATTGTCAAACAATTATAAATTAATTATTGCATGTGCTTGTCAAATACAATTTATATCTTTTTATATGATATGCAAACTATAACACATATTTATTAAATGCACATACGTAGCTGCAACTTCTTTGTACTAAATATATATATATATACTAGTTGACTAAATTAGTAGTAAATTTGCAACAAGTAAAATAATGATGCAATGATATAACAACCTCACAGGCTCACACTATTATAATAAAAATAAAAAATAGAAATAATTGATTAATTAATAATGATTTTCCGGGTTTCATGTTTGTAGTTTGAAGCCCACGCTCTCCTCAAGCGCGTCAGCAACTTTGCTTATCTATCACTTTCCATTTTCCCGTATTTCCATGCTTCGTCGTTTCCGAAACTCCCCACCACTCTCTCACTAAAAAAAAAACCCCTCCTCCCCCTCTCCGCCGCCGCCTCCACCGTCAACCCCCGCCACTCCCACCGCCGCCATGAAAGAAGCATCGGAAGGAGAACCCATCAACAACCCAGCACTGACAGACACACAGCAACTCCTCCACTCGCTCGTGGAATCCACCTCCCAAGTCCAAATCTTGAAGTCCAAATGGTCACCCATAACCACCAAGCTCACCGCCCTAGCCACCCGCCTCTCCGACCTCTCCATCCCCACCGCCGCCGCAGCAGAAAACCCCTTCTCCGGAGACCTCCTCCGCTCCGTCTCCGCCACCTGCTCCGCCGCCGCCACCCTCGCCGCCCTCTGCCACTCCCCGAACCCACCCGGCGGCAAGCTCAAAACCCAGAACGACGTCGACGCGCTCTCCGCGAAGCTCGACGCCCACATCAACGACCTCGAGGTACTCAACAGAAGCGGCGCGCTCTCCGAAACCCCCCCTCTCTCGCCGGCAGCCGCGGTCTCCTCCAGCAGAAGGGAATCGGTTCGGGCCGAATCCAGAAATTTGATGACCCGGCTCCAGATCGGGTCAAACGAATCGAAAAGCTCGGCCCTCGATTTGCTCCTGGGTCTATTGCAGGAGGACGATAAGAACGTGCTGATCGCCGTTGCTCAAGGGATTGTTCCGATACTCGTGCATTTGCTTGATTCGAGCTGCTCTTCGGAAATCAAGGAGAAAACGGCCACCGCCATCGCCAAAATCTCGACCGTCGATTCGAGCAAGCACGTCTTGTTGTCCGAGGGTTTGGTCCTGCTGAACAATCTGCTCCGCGTGCTCGAGTCGGGCAGCGTCTTCGCGAAGGAGAAATCGTGCATCGCACTCAAAGTATTGAGCAATTCGAAGGAGAACGCCAGGGCGATCGGTTCCCGAGGCGGGATTTCTTCGTTGCTTGAAATTTGTCAAGAAGGGACCCCGAATTCGCAGGCGTTGGCAGCTGGGGTTTTACGTAATTTAGCGAATTTCGAAGAAATTAGGCAGAGTTTTATCGAGGAAAATGCGATCTTGATACTGTTAGGGCTGTGCAATTCGGGTACTGCACTAGCGCAGGAAAATTCGGTCGGGTGCTTGTGTAATTTAATCTCGGGTGACGATGAATTGAAATTGTTGGTTGCGAGAGAAGGCGGAATCGAAAGTGTGAAGAATTTGTGGGATTCTTCGCCCCCAGCGCAGAATCTTGAAGTACTCGTTCACATGGTGCGAACGTTGGCCTCGTGCCCTAATATCGCTGAATATTTAGTGGCGAACGGTTTTCTAAATCGTGTAGTCGGGGTTTTGAATTGCGGGGTTCTTGGAGTGAGAATTTCGTCCGCGAAGGCGCTATCCGATTTGGCGTACAATAGTAAAACGAGAAAGGAATTGGGCGAAATGGGTTGTATTCCGCTTTTGGTGGCGATGCTCGACGGAAAGGCGATCGAGGAGAAAGAAGCCGCTTCGAAAGTGCTTTCGGTTCTTATGAATTACGTCGGGAATCGGAGGGTTTTTCGGAAGGAGGAGAAGGGAATCGTTTGTGTTGTTCAATTGATGAACCCGTTGGTGAAGAATTTGGATAAGAGGTATCTAGTTTCGATACTAGCGTCGCTCGTGCATTCCAAGAAATGCCGGAAACAAATGGTGACAGCTGGCGCTTGTGCTTACTTGGAGAAGCTCGTGGAGTCGGATGTCGAGGGTGCGAAAAAGCTTCTAGAAGGTCTTGGGCATAGCAAGATGTGGGGAGTCTTTGGCGGCAGGGCTTGAAAAAGTCCAGCGAAAAAAAGGTTAAGTCTTTTCTTATGTACAATATTTGTATTTTTACGATTTTTCTCGATTCGTCTGTATTTTATTTTTCTATGTTTCGATTAGTTTCGTTCCACATTGTTTATAAGTTGTGGTTAGAGAAGTAGTATACAGTCTAATTTATTTGGTGATGAAACGTCGCGTTTAGAGGTTTATTTCTTTACTCGGTTTGGTGGCCTAACTTTTATCGGTGATGTGTGCGCTCTCGTGTTTTTTTTTTTTTCTGCCGAAAACGAAATAAAATTATTGAAATGTCGTATTCGACTTGAGGTGGTGCTTTTTATATGTTACGTACTTGCATTCGTAGTTTTGGTAACGATCGATCATACGAGCGAAATTCGGGAATATTTTTTTGTGATTTGCTTTTTTCGAAATTCGTAACTGTTCGCATTCGAATATCTGAATGAATTCTTGAAATAATTCTGTTTTCAATGATTTTGTCAGCTTGAATTGTTATCGTGATGCTTTATTGAGTTTTGAATGGCATTTTGGTAATTGTGGATTTATTGATTTTTTTATATTTGGATTAAAAAAGAATGTATTGAAGGTAGTTATATATGATGTGGACCATGCTCATATAGTATATGACATAGTCAATCATTAAATTTTGTTAGTGAGATATTATGATATTAAATTGGGGTTAGTTATGAATAATTTTGTCAGTTTTGTAGCTTATTGCTAGATTATACCTTATTCTATTTTGAGTTTGGTAGAGTTGAGCATGTGCATTTTCAATGGATTACATTTAGTTTTGTGGTGGCACTTGTCAAAGCAAGGGCTACTATGACAGTACTCGCCTCCCAATGGTGGTGGCTGCCGCCATGGTGGCGTCGATTGCGGCGGTGGTGGTAGTTAGGGGGTGTCGTTTCAATTTTATTAACATTGTTTCAACTTCAAACGTGAAAACGTGATTCTGACCCTGCTTCTAGTCTCGTCTTAGAAAAATTTAAAACACGGAACCTATAGTCAAGGGAGTTTGCTTTCTAATCCAACTTAAATCAACTAGACTGGATGTCGGGTGACAAAGTGAATGTATTCAAATTTGAATTTTAGATAACTCAAAAGATCAAATTTATGGGCAGTGTTCACTGATTCATGGTCTATTTTATGCTACACTAGGTAGATTTTTACCATTCATATACACACAAACACATACCCACCCACATTGATATGTATAGATCAATAGTAAAAAAATCACCTAATATAGCTTCCACAGTGTAGCATAGAAATAACCTTGATTCATGAATATTTTTATCATCTGATATCCGATCTTGATAATTCAAGTTGGATTCGAAAATTGATTCAAAGAACTACATACTCGTCTTTAGATCATATAGACCATCTTTTGTGATGGAAGAGGGAGAAAATTAAAACACTCAACACAAAATCAAACTTCCCCCCCAAAAAAAGAAATTAATAAAAAATAAATAAATAATAGGGTAAATTACAAACACCTCCTGAGGTATGGTCAAATTACAAAAACACCCCTCTTGTTTGGATAATTACAACCACCCCCTCAACTCATCAAATTTAGTGGAATCTTCGAGATTATATGGAATATTATCACTTTTGTACCCGTTTTATCCCATTCAAAATCTACATTATGAAGCAAGATGGTCATAATATGTGATTTTTAGCTTGTATATATCAGTTTGTGGTGCATCGGAAACTGTATTTTTTATACAAAAAGAGTACAAACTAGAGCGCATTTCAATGATATGTTGAATTTGGCACCATAAAGGCGGAGGTCTAAGAAAAAATCATAGTTGAGGGGGTAGATGTAATTATCCAAACAAGAGGGGGGTTTTTGTAATTTGACCATACCTCAGGGGGGTATTTGTAATTTACCCTAAATAATAATAATAATAAATACGATACTAGACCCCCAAAAGAAACTAATTACTTGAAAGTTGAAAGTGAACCACTTAGTGGCCAAACTTCTTTACATTAACTATTTATAACAATAGAAGACACGAAATCAAACATATACGCAAATTACTAATTACTATATACTTATCAACTCCTAAATAAACCAAATTGAAATGAAAAACACCACAAAATACTCTTTAAATAGTAAAATCCTCCATAATCAAACTTGGATTTGGCGCGATTTATTAGCAGAAATGACAGTTAGCAAAAGATATAAAAGAAATCCAAAATAAGACAGCAAAGAAGCAGCTGTAATTCTATTGCAGAATTTCCCAAAGTAGCCACAAATTGCTACCCAACCGGAGTGGCTATTCCCGTATTTCCCCACGTATCCGATCGCAGTTGCTGCCGCGCATCCCCCCATCAACAACACCGTCATTATCTGATTTTTTTTTTCAGAAAAAAAATAAAAAATAAATTGTTTTCCATGAAAAGTTAAACGCACGTTGAAACGTATTGTATAAGACAACAAATTTATTATGCATTCAGTTCCCTTGTCTTATATCGAGTTGCTAAAATTACCCCGTTTTATTGATACAATAGAACCTCGATGAATCAATAACCTCGCTTACATAATAAAATCTTTCGTTTCCCAACTCGGTGATAATTTAATATTTTGCTAGATTAATAGAAATTTGCTGGTGCCGACTGTATTAATTTATAGAGATTTAACTGTATATATTCGTAAAAATTCACATATAATGCATTTTTTAGCACACGTCTCCATAAATAGCGAGTTTTTTTAGGCGAATCATAGTGCGGTATTTTTTTTTCTTTATTTAATTATTTATTTTTGCAATAAACCCTAGTTACCAAATCATGGAGGAATATGTAGAAGTAGTGTGTTGGATCAACCGCAGGCTTGTTCCCCAGCACGAATACGAAAAACAACGAAAGAAACGTGAAGGCGCTTGCTATCAGATTTGCATATGCAAAGAACCTGCATATTATATATACATACACACATAAATACATATATATATACACACACACACACACAATGTATGTATGTATAGCTAATTTCTTACTTGAAAGTTGGAGAATAGCTGTAACGGGCATCGATTTGGATACCGAAAACGAGGGTGGTTTGTTTGCTGGTGAATGTGATCCACGTGGCAGCAAGAGTTGAAGCGGCAGCAAGAAACCTTAGAGAGATTTGTGTAAGAATGAAGGATTTGTGAGTTTTAAGGATACGAATAGTGTGGGGTTTCTCCATTGTTTGTAGCTCTGCAGAAAAAAAAACTAAAGGGTATTTTTTTTATTTTTTCTGATGTTGTTTTAATTTGGTTTGGTGGGAAGTTATTTAATGCAAAGGAAAATTAAAAACTGCTAGCTTAGTAATAATGGTTTGGTGGGTGTGGTAGTTTTATGGTATTTATAGAAAGGGGTTGAGAGAGGAGTTGAGATTTCATTTGCCAACGTGGTGGTTTTTATTTTATTTTTAATTTAAAGTTTTGGAAAAAAAAAATAATGGGTTAGGTTAAGAATTTAATGCGGTTCGGATTCAATTACTGTTGCGAGGTGGAAGTAGAGATGTAGGTATTTGGGGGATTTAGTTTTTTGGATAATTTTGAGTTTTGAGTTAATTGCAAATTTCTTCTTGTGTTTGTTTTGAATTGTTGAAAAATTAAAATCTTCTTGTTGTTTTTAGGGTAATTCGCACTTAACTCCTATATGGTTACAAGTTTTTGTAGATGACTTTTTTGTACTTGTAATATCAGCACATAACCCTCATGTTGTTGATGGATGTAGTGTTTGTTGGTTTTTATGTCAAACTTAACTGCGAGTGTCAAACTTCAAAGGGGTCATCTGCAAAAATTAAAGGAAAAATGTAAGCATAAGGGGGGCATCTGCAAAATATAGTATTTTGACGTTTGACATGCGCAGGTAATTTTAAAGGAAAAACTAACAGAAGTTACCCTCTATCAACCACAAGGGGAATTATGTATATTACAAGTACAAATGAGTAATAAGCAAAGGCATAATGTTCATCAAATAACATCATCAAAGCTCAAATTCGTGAATAAGTAAAGTCAAAGTCACCTAGAATAAGTAAGTTTTGTATCTAGGGTTTCAAAATTTAAGAATAATAAAGTCCCGTCACCTTAGCATTTTACGAAACAACTGAGAAATATATATATTTAGTATTTTAAAACGACCCGAATAGGGTCAATGTGACCTGACCCGCGCCTGAAAACCTCCCTAAATATGTATCTCCACATCATTTTGTCTATCATGTTACGGTAAAATACGATACTATACGTATTTTTTACCCAATATATCTTATTGTATCTTACGATATTTATCGTACATATTTATCGTACATCTTAATAACCTAAGAAGGTACAAGCTCGGATACGTATTTTTTACCCACTACATCTTATCGTAATTTAAGATACGTGTCGTGAGATACTTACTAATAACAATGTTCATAATCACTTAATTGATAAGTGTGTAGCTGTCTATTTACTTTTTTTCCCAATCACACGAGAGTTTTTTGCAAGCAAAAATAAGTTTTTTTAGTACTTAATGTAAATATAGAGTTGTCAAATTAGGTATTCTAACTAATCTAATAGAAAAATGATAACGACAATTGAGAGTGAGAAATATGAGAGGAGAGAGATTAGTAAAGCTAACATAAATTTGCTACTATAAGTCATTTCATTATTATTCTTTCTTCCAAATAAATTTGTATTTGTTTAGATTTTTCTTAAAAAATCACAGAATAATTTCTAAAGTTTACCTTTCCTCCGAACATGATTTGATTGCTGTAATAAAAAAATTGTATTCACTAAAAAACAAATCAACATCACTTTAATTTTCAAATTATTCTTCTAAAATATATTTTTCCAACTACTTTAAACATGATTTGACTGTCACACTGTATTTCGTCTCATTTTAAATATAAATAAACATTATTTTCATTGTCAAATTACTCCCTCAATGTACATTTCCCCAAAGTAAAATAAAAACAACTTTCAAAATCAATCCAAACATTGTCTAGTGATTAAAAGTTTGAACATATGGGCAAAATAATAAATATAAGGAGAAATTGATATTGACCTTATTTAATTCGATATAAAACTACATTTAATGGACAAAAGTGCTCTCATGATTTTAATTATTTAACTCTAAATTATAGCAAATTAAAGTACTACGCTTATAAAAGATGTTTAAGAGCGTATAAGTTCTTGGAAAATGTTGGTGATCTTTTTTAAAAAGATCTTAATTTGTTTAAAAATATTTTTTTTCTTTAGCTCCAAAACACGATATCACCCTTTTACAAATTTACCCTTAATTGGATGAGAAAGTCATTTCATTAATTATTATCATGTATTTACTGCTGAAACTTTTTTTTTTCTTTTGTTCCACAACATGTGTTTCTAGTCTCCTTACATCTATGTAGCACGACATGGAAATGGGAAAATGGGTACGGGAAAACGGCATGCTTCGAAAATGGGAACACATAAACTTGGGGGAAACATGTAAATATTAAAAGTATAAGGATATATTTATAAACATTCTACATAAGCATATACAATATTTTTTATATATTTTTATGCAAGCATATTCAAAATAAATTTTACTATCAACTATCAATTTGCAATTGATCACTAAATCATGTAAATTAAATAATTTGGGAAACAACAAAAAATATTTGAAATTTTGCTATTCAAACTTTTTAGAAATTGCAAAATGACCAATAAGGTGTTAGGTAGGTGTCTTCGGGTTTCCGACACAAAACATTTTGGAAATACAAAAATATTATGAAGTTAAAGTTTCCGTACTACATAACCATACATTTTACGTTTTAAAGATTGATTTTCAGTGTGGTGAGCTGGCTTTGATACATTTTTTGGATTTTCAATTTATTGAATTATTATTTATTTAAAGATAATATTATTTTTCGAGCAAATTTTACGAATTTCCCTAACACACTTCTCACATCTAGCTAGCACACCTACAATCTCTAGCTTAAAACATGTTAAATGATGATAAATTGAACACATAATAAGTTTTAATTTGTGTTATTTTAATTAAGAGGGTGTTTGGCTAAGCTTATAAGATGTTAAAAGGAGCTTATAAGATGTTTTAGGGTTTTATCTATCCTACACCCGGTGAAGGTTACACCGGGTGATTTTTCACCGTTGATCTACACACACCAATGTGGGTGTGTGTGTGTTTGTGTGTATATTAATGGTAAAGATCTACCCGGTGTATTTCACCCGGTGTAGGATCTCAAAAGCCGATGTTTTAGATCTTATAAGCTCTTCCAAAGTGTTTGGTAAATTTTTAGAAAAAAATCTTATTTTTTTTAAAAATAAGCTGTTGGAAAGCAAATAAGATCTTTTTAAATAAATACATCTACCCCACATTTTTATTTAGGGTCTATTAGATATAACCCCCTTAGACATTCAAATAATAGGGGTAGATCCAAATTTAAATTTGCCATTTTGATAAAAACCCAAACTTTTCTAAATTACATAAGTACCCTCAATCAAATCCCACAAATCACGTTACTTTACCTTTTGAAATAATATCAAATCCCACCCTATTTTCCCGTTAAAACACTATCCCCACAAACCCACTACCAAAAAATCTGCAAACCTCTCAAAACCAGAAATTTATACGGATCTCGCGGACGGTGCCGGGGGAATTAGATGAGGAAAGTACTTGCTCCTCGCCGGAGTCCGACGGAGACACCGTCCGCTGTGGTGCAGCGTCGTAGCAATTTTCCGGCGCTGGATTTCGCACAACGGCCTTTTCTCGTCTTTTCGAAAGCATTCATTGGAGAACTCCCACCGATCAGGCATAACCTTCCCAAATCCCTAAAAAATCATCAGATAAGCAACTCAATCAATAACTGAAAAAAAAAAAAACAAAATTCCTCGTTACAGATCGAAGGATTCGATTAGCAAAAGCTCACGTAAGTATTTATTGCCGAACGAAACTGGAGAAATTGTTGTGCTTGAAATACTTGGGCAGCAAATCTCTGGCAAACTCACGTAATTTGGCCCAACGAAACCGACAATATACTAATAAACTATCCCACTGATATAATTTGACTATGGATCTCGTTAATCGACTATGGGCCGCCGTCACTGCTCCAATCTAGGGTTACTCAAATCTAGGATTACTCAAATCTAGGGTTTTGATAATTCTTCGGCCCATAGTTGATTAACGAGATGCATAGTCGAATTACATCTGTGTTAATATACTATCCTATATCATTTAATAGACTATCCCACTGGTATAATTTTACTATGAATCTCGTTAATCGACTATGGGCCGAAAAATCATCAAAACCCTAGAATAATAATAATAATAATAATATATATGGAAACTGAATAATATGTTTGTTTGAAATACTAATCAATTAGGGTAATTTTCATTATTATATGAAAACGATTAGGGTAAATAATAATATATATGAAAAAATAATAATATAAATGGAAACTGAATAATATGTTTGTTTGAAATACTAATCAATTAGGGTAATTTTCCTTATATCATGTAATAGACTATCTCATTGATCTAATTCGACTATAGATCTCGTTAATCGACTATGAATCCCGTATTATTCAACCACATAGTATATTAATAATTTCAATATAGTACATTAATCTGCTATGATAGTATATTACGGTTATAGTAGTGATATGAAATTGTGTTACAAACAATACACCACTGAAATGACAAGAACATTATATTGAGAACAAAACCAACGTAAAGTATTCCAACATAACCAATAAAATAGTACATTAATAATCTCATAATTTTAATCTAGGGTTTTGATAAAATACTTAAAACACATCATAACACAATCAAACCAATATGTCGAGTTAAAAAACTCTAGTACATTAATAATCTCATAATAGTATAATAAAATGATAGTGGTAGTATCATATGGTATTCATAATAGTATACGTATTACAACGGTTTAGCACTTAACCGACGTTACCGAGCCATTACATCGTAAACACCTCTTTATAGCAACCAACCCACCAAACCTCGAAATCATGTCCTCATCGTCAGCCAAGATACATTCACCAACGCCTTCCAGCCTATATGTCATGCTTATATCCCACCCATCGAGTTGTGGCCACTTTGAAATAACAAATGCAACCAATGAACCGCGAGTAAACCCGTTCGAACACCTCTTTATAGCAACCAACCCACCAAATCTCAACAAAATCCGTACAAAATTCGCCATCGATAAAACCTTGAATCATAATACGACATTAAAAATACAAAATACTAAAAAATATATTAATATGATCAAAAATAAACTTAAAATGCAAAATTCATACGATAACTTAAAAAAGACTACAAAGTATATTTTAATGTACTACCCAGAGTCCTAAAATCCGCTGTTATAAACAAATAAATCAACTATCGACCGGGATCAGACACATGAACTCCACGACCGCGGACAGTTATTTCAATTACTACGTAAACCAACTACGACGTTCATATAAAATAACTCTGGTCCAATATGCGTGAACAATCCTTATCTAACTCTGTCAATCCTCTTCCGAACAAACATCATCCGCCAAAATTAACGATGTATATATGACGGAATAATTTTGTTAAAAAACGTTCTACATAATATAATCAAGTATCAACACACCTCTTAAAATTTCTAACCACCATACACGACGATCCTAGCCATTGAACGGAAAATAAATCGAAAAACGCATTCATACCCGGTTAAACAAAGTCCAACAGATGAGCGCTCAATTCGATCCTATTTCCACGACGGTGCAGAAATCTTCAAAGATAAAAATCCCCTGGAACGGTGAAAGAGAACCTCCGAAAATATTATACACGATTTGGTATAACGGCCAATGATCTCACGTAATATTATTCCGTGATTTTAGGCAACGTATCAGCAAATCTCAAATCACGTATTAAAGGAATTAAATGCCGTTTAAAAATAAACAAGGGTATTAAAGGAAAATTATATAATATATTTTGCCAAGTTGGCAAAATTGGGTCTATCTCAAAAAGTGAAAAAAAAAATTGGATCTACCTCATTAGAAAATATGAACAAGGGGGTTATCCCTAATAAACCCTTTTATTTAAGATCTTATAATGAGTAAAATAGGAAATAATCTCATTATCCAAACACTCAAAAAATTAATCCTTAAAATAAGATGTAACATCTTATCAACTCTAAAAGCATCTTATCAGACGTAAGAACTTATCAATTGTTTAAAATAATTTTAGCCAAACACCCTCTAAATTTATACATATTTACTTATTTGTGTAAATATCTCTAAACATATTTGGGCTATATACTCTAGTAAAATCTTAAATTTACCATTTTGGAGTTTGCGACCCCAGCTGAAAAATCCGTGTTCCACCCTTGGCTCTAGTCGAGCTCAATCTATTTGAAGGGATCAAGTTTGAGCTAAATTAATAAGGGCCCATTTTGCTAAGCTTATTCTGAATAACTTATAAGCTTTTATATCTGATTAGTTGTTTTTAGAACTCATAAGCTGTTACGTTTTATTTTTATAATTAATTTTTAAAATATTTGTATAATGATCTTATAAGCTACGTTTACTCATTATAAGATCTTAAAAAAAAAGTGGGATAAAAGTACTATTTAGAAAAGATCTTATTTGCTATCTATCAGCTTACTTTTCGATATTTTTTATAGAAAACTACCGAACACTTTGGAAAACTTATAAGCTCTTAAACATCTTTTAAACTCTTTTTAACAACTCATGAGTTGGAGCTTCATCAAGCTTATTTTTTTGGATTTTGAGCTCACCCCAAGGCTCACAAATAGGCTCATGAACTTCTGAATTTTAGAGAGGTTTCATTTTTTATTCGTAATATTTTACTCTATATTATAATTAAAATATATCTAAAAATGCTACTATTTTTCATATTAAGTCAATTTTTAACATCTAAATTTGTCTTTATATATCTATATGATAAAAAAATCAAAAAAAGAAAAAAGAAACAAACAAGACAAATCAGAGTTTTTGAACGAATAAAAGACGCTCAAGTTTAGTTCATCATGAAGTCCAATCTCTCGCTCGATCTTCCACTCAAGTTTTTCAAATTCAAACTCGAATTTCTGTTATGGTATATGAACTTACTTTTGGCTCATTTACATGATTAATCGTTGTTATTTATCTTTATGTTTGCCGTTCACTTTTCCCATTTATGGTATAACACGCGTTGGTGCAAGATTTGCACGCCCAATACTTATTTGTCGAAAGCGTTTCCTTCATCATCAGAAAGTTCTGCGTTGATCACCTGCAACACCCGAGTTGAGTCGGGTGGAAAGACTCTACGACACACAAGTTTGGATCGGGGACGATAAAGCACAAGTAAAAATAATATATTGTAAATAGTAATTAACAATGAATAATTATGCAACATATATACATAGGTAGGGCTATAAAGTAGTTACCTTTTACAATTAAGCCTTGTGATTTACGTCGAAAAATCATGCACAAGATCTTCCTTCTATACCGATCACAACTCCGAGTCTGCAACTCGGCATGACAAATTGTTCGGCGCTTCTAGCTTGTTCTCCTCCCCACACAAGCTCTACTTACAACTTACATTAGTAGTCTGGTTGGTTAGACTAGTCATAAATCATAATGAATGATACAATCGAAATCGCACTGGACGTTCAGTTATTTCAATAGGTTTTCTGGCACACACGCATAGTTATAAAATAAAACGGCTCGAAAATCTTTGACTGATCGAGAAGATTACTTATCGAACCATCCACAGACGATCCAACAATAGAAGTAAATTTTCATAAAATTATTAAAATCTTGACTAATATTATCTTGAAAACCAAACCAAAATCCTAATAAAAAACCATTAAGTTTTTAAAATGTCAAAAACAAATAATTCCAAAATGAGGAATTAATTGGCTGTGAATTAGCTATGAAATGCGATCATTGATATTTGATACCTTTCCCCTCCAAAAAGAAATGCGTTAGTTTTATCATTTTATGCACTTTTTCCTCTTTGGGGAAGAGAGAAGAAGACGAAGAAGAGAGAGAGAGATAAAACCTAATTATAATCTACAATAACCCTTTCCTCTTTCCCAAAACCCTTAAAAAAAAACCAGAGTGCAAAAATGGTGGATTTTGCGCGGGTGCAGAAGGAATTGCAAGAGTGCAACAGGGATTTTCAGGTATCGGGGATTAAGGTTTCGCCAATGGCGGAAACAAACCTCGCTCACTTGCTGGGTACAATCCCTGGTCCACTCGGTACACCCTATGAAGGCGGCACCTTCAAAATCGACATCACTCTTCCCGGTGATTGTTTTCCCCCTTTTTTCTTAATTCAATTTTGCTTATTTTTTCGTGAATTGTGTTTCTGAGGTTTGGTTGGGAATTGTGCCGTGAAAATTTGGGATTAGGGTTTTTACTTTTTTTTTTTTTTTTTTTCTGAAGGCTGTGAATTTGAATAGTGTTGTGATTACTGATTAAGGGTTCTTCGTTTTTGTTTTATGCTCTGCCAAATTGAGGGCTTTGGATCAGTTTAATTGTGGTGGTGTGCAGTTGTTTTAGGCGCATTGGATATAATCATGGTAATGTGTGTGTACGATTCAAGTACGTCGGATCGTTCTGCAGACGAAACGATGAACAAATGTCGTTCTTAATATATGGAATTCGGAAACTTGAAGAAATATAGAGAGAGGTTTAGTCCTTGCATAGTTCTTAGTTCTTGATTTTGCGTTTTCTTCTCGGTGCAGATGGTTACCCGTTCGAGCCGCCCAAAATGAAGTTTGCCACCAAAGTATGGTATGGTGAAACAACTCTATCTGTACTTCCTCCTTTTTTCGTTTTTTTTAAGTATGATTGCACGGAGCACACTTTGAATTGCTGGCATGAAGAACAAGGTCTCGGAGTTTTTTAGGGATCATTTAAATACGTGTGTGTCTATGTGTATTATATTATTTGTATATAAAAGTTTTATGAAACATATTATTCGTATGTACGAAACAATATCTTATAAAGACTGCGTGTATTATATTCTGATAGCAGCATACGACGAACAAACAGAACGAAGCATGTTACATGAACTAAAGTTCCATCATTTAAATTAGACTTTTGTGTTAGAAAGTAGAAACTCCAGATTGAAGTTTGATTACCAAATGTGACCAGACGGAAAAAAAAGAAGCAACAGCCATTCTATTTTCCTCGTTTCTCTGTGTCGTGGTATCGGAAATTATTTATGCTTTTAAGTTCTTTAATTTAAATGTCGTCTATATTTGAATGGAAGGCATCCGAATGTAAGCAGTCAAAGTGGAGCGATATGCTTAGATATACTGAAAGATCAGTGGAGCCCGGCACTCACTTTGAAAACCGCACTTCTTTCTGTTCAAGCACTTCTCTCTGCTCCTGAACCCGATGACCCCCAAGATGCTGTCGTTGCACAACAGGTACTCTTAACAACTTTGGGTAAATTACGGCTACCACCAAGGTGCGGTCAAATTACGAAAAAAAACCCCTCATGTTTGGGTAATTACAATTAACCCCCTTAACTATGAATCTTCTTACACGTCCTCCCGTCTTTACCAATTTTACCCCATTCGAGCTCCACATTTTGAAACAACAGGATCATAAGATGTGTCTCTTGGCTTGTAAATATCAGATTGTGGTGCATCAAAAATCTTTGCACAAAACGAGTACAAATTAGAGAATATTCCACATAATTTGGAAGATTATGTTGAATTTGACACCATATGGCGGACGTGTAAAAAGATTCATAGTTGAGGGGTGGTTGTAATCACCCAAACAGGAGGGTTTTTTTTCTTTGTAATTTGACCTTATATCAGGGGTGGTTGTAATTTACCCTATCTTTTAAGTTTTTTTATCCGAAGTTTTTTTACTCTTAATACTACTTATTTTTGTTGATTAGTTATTAATTTTTTTGAATGCTTACAGTATCTTAGAGATTACCAAACATTCGTGGGAACTGCTCGTTATTGGACGGAATCATTTGCCATGACATCATCTCTTGGTCTTGAGGAAAAGGTTTGCACCATTCTAACATTTATTTTTCTTACAACTTTCTTCTCTCTCCCACAAATACCAACACGGGAAAATAATGTTTTGGGGAAAAATGTGATTTAAATAGTTGAGTTATTAGGGGGCATGTTTGCTCGGGTTGGTCGTTAGCCGCAAAATTAATTATTGCTGAATTTGGAATTAAGTTACATGGGGAACGGCCCCGACAGCACAATGTCGAACTGGATAGGCGGTAAAAAAGACCGAATTAGCCTTAGTGTTACAGTTATCACTCTACATTGGAACCCTTTTTTAAATTTGTACATGCTGGTTCTTGGTGCGAAAACTTGAAGGAAGAAAAGAAAACCTACATGCATATACCGACTTATTTTTATCGCAAGACTAACATTGTGAATCGTATTAATTTGTTAATATCATAAATCATAATGGGCAAAGCCAATAACCATGCTTATAATCGCACGTAACAACACTCATCTAAGAAAACTAAACCTTGATTGAGCTAAGATCTACATTAGTTTTAGTGGGGTGAGCTGAAATATCGGGAATTTCTTGACTACTCGTGTGCCTGTAATAAAACCTGATTTAAGAACACTCTTTTTCACTAAAAGTTGGTTTGTTATCTCTAATGTAGATTTTATTCATCTGCTTATTCCGACTTCGTAATTGCTTTTTTTTTTTTTCGATTTATTTTTTCATCATTTTTGTTTTATTGAAAAGGGTAGAAATATTGTGATCTAAAAAAAACACATGAAATGATTTTTTGACAGGTGCAAAAGCTTATGGAGATGGGGTTTCCAGAAGCTCAGGTGAGGAGTAGTTTGGAAAGTGCCGGTGGTGACGAAAACTTGGCTCTCGAGAAGCTTTGCTCTGCTTAATAAATCATACAATTATATTCCATCTATTTATATTTTTGCTGTCTAAAAAGTTCATTTGCTGCTATACAGGAAGATAAAAGATACTTTGTGTTGAATACTTGATACTCTTTTTTGCCATTTTGATCACTTTTTCATTATCTCTAATTGCAGTTTATGGATTTCACTTTTGTTGTTTATTTTTCTGCATTTCTTTTATTTTGGCCCCCTTTTTTCTCAGCATGTACGTACGCGGTTTGGGTCGCAATTCCGGGTCAAAACCCGTTGACTCGGTTATCACGCTGGTCGGGGGATGGTATATTATTATCCCTATGAGTAAATCAGACGGATCAAAATTAGTCCTTTTGGAAATTTTCGTTGGAAGTGAAAAACTAATACCGATTCCGTTCCCAACGAAAATGGTAACCAACGTAAATGGTAAAATTGAAATCGCATTTTCGAAAAATTGGAATGAAAATAAACTTGTTTCAAAATCAAAAATTTCGGATTTTTAAGTGTAATATTTGAAAAAAAAAAACACATAATTTTTGGAGCACAAAATCGGATCTGATATTAGAATCTAATATATATATTTCAATTACAATCCAAATAATTTTGGAAAAAAATGGATTCAGAATCTGGAATGAAAATTATTGTTCCAAAATTGGAAAATTTCGGATCGGAATATGTGAAAATCAGAAATACCGTTCCAATTTCCACCCATAATACTCCCAAACCTGAACATGATAAATTAACAATTAACAAAAGGATTTGAATATTCTCAATATGGAATCATTCAGAAGTATTGGACTAAATTGAATTGAAACTTTTTTTAGGAAGAAATTCAATTGAAACTTTTTTTTTTTTTTTTATTGAAATCAATTGAAACTTGAAAGGTCATAAAATTAGACTACACTTTTTTTCAACGTTCAACACATATCGTCCAGTATAGACTATTGATTGAACAAACAAAATTAAAATATCTTTTGCTTATTAAATTGATTTTATTAATGAAATATACAATTAAAATAAGAAGGTTCTAATTGATCGACGATTTTTCAATCCTATACCCGATTATTATCATCGAGTGTACTTTCCACCAACACTTGTTTTTTCTCTGAGTTGAATTCTCATTCAGATGTGCTTATTTAAGTTTCACACTAAATTAAAATTAGTAAAAATCGAATTGAAGACATAAATGTTAATAGAAAAACCATGCACTGACAATCTCCGAGTGTATGGTCGAAGAAACCGATTAGGACTCCGATCAGAAGAAAACAAAACGCATTAAAGAATAGTAAGAAAGTCGATCAAAACATATTCAAACCCGTTTTCAACTAAAAACATTTCAGCGTCAAATATTCACATATCGAACTTTTCTTCGCACGATTATATTCACTTTGACTAAAATTGAAATAGGACAATGGGCCATATATTTTTCTTCCTACATGTGCATGACAAAGTAACACTTCCTCAACATCCAAAAAAAATAAATCCTAGGATTATTTCATCTTAAGTACAACTATTTTTAAATGGCATCTGCAATTCGAAATAATACATGATTAAAATGTTAAATAATGAAAATGCATTAAAATAAGGCTGCGGCTATATGCAATACTCATTCCACTTGTGCAAGACCAAATTAAAGAAAAATTCCAAAAGATTCTATTTTATTAAGATGGAATGACAAATATGCCCATAAATTAAATTGGCTTTTTTCTCATGCAAGACCAAATACAAATAATGAGGAAAAAAGACAAAAAAAGAAAATATAGAAGCGTGAATTAAAAAAACAAACACCCCCCCCCCCCCCCCCCCCAACCATAACTTCCTCCATTTTTGTGTTCATGCCATACCTCGCACCTCCGCGCAGGGTAT